CCCCAAAACCCCAAAACCCCAAAACCCCAAAACCCCAAAACCCCAAAACCCCAAAACCCCAAAACCCCTTAATTTAAAATTTTAATTGAAATATTCATATATCATAAAAATGTCACAAAAGAAGAGTCCTGTTAGACATAGAAAGTCAAGAATAATTCGAAAATTCAACCAAAGTGAAGAGAGCGACAAGTCTAAAAAGATCAGAAAACCTGATATATCGATCAAATTTATCAATGAAAAAGGAAAAGTTGAACTTTCTAAATTAAAGTATGATCTAGATGAGTTATTCAATAATACTCCTATTTTTGAAGCTCCATTTATTGAATACGAGGATACTAGCCAACAAAGATCATGGAAAGGAGTTGCTGGAATAATACTCTCTCCTTTCGGAAGATTAAACAAATATATCTGCCACATTGTACTCCAACCCTAATTCCTATAGAACACAACAAGACCAAACAAAGTAACTCTAAAATCCCCCCAAAATAAACCCAAAACTCACTTCCGCACTAAAAATTCTACCCTCTCTCGAAAATAAGCTGACTACCAACCTCTCTTCCTCCAGTAACTCCCCATCTCACTCCACAGCCCACTTGCGTCCAAAATCTACCCTCCACCGTAAAGGAACCATAACTCCCGGCCAACTTCCCAGTCACTCCTCCATAACGCCCAATCCCCTTCTCTCAAACATGGGTGGGCGAAGACAAGTAGGGTTCCTGAAGAAAGGACTGAAAGAGATTAAGGAGATGAGTCCGAAGACTCCTGTGTAAGTAGAGCTGTTTAGGATGTAGGGTTAGGGTTGGACCAAGACTGAAGGGTAGAGAAAATTCAGAGGATAGTTTGACAAACAGCTTGTCAGCAACTGATCTATCAAAATCGTCTAATTTATTAAATACCTTAACAAAGCATCAAAGGCAAGTTTCTAATGGCATCTCTTCAAAAGTATCGAGTCATGAAGAGGCCACCCCTCAAGTGAGGTTGAGAATAGGTCATGTTTCTGGCTCTAAGCCTCTAAATCTATCATGAAGAGAACCCAGAAACCATAATAGATCAACGAAATCTGCTTTAAGTCAAAGGAAAAATCTGATATATCCAAAACGAAGCAGTAATCTTCCAAAAGCTAATGAAGAGAAAAGAAATCATACATCAATCAAAAACAGGATTAGGAAGAAAATCTTGGATTCAAGACGAGCAGGAAGTGTTTTTTCTGTTAGAAGAAAGACCAACAGTGATCTTTATGTAGATTTATCAGCAAAGCACAAGCAATTCATGGACTTATCTAGCTCAATTTTGTCAACTGGTGTAAATAATTTTTACTATTTTAGAATATTCCAATTATGGCAACGACTAGATTTTGAAGTCCTTCACAAAGACTAGATGATAGAAGAAAGCTGCTTCAAAAAGAACTCCTTAGCATTCAATCTCGGTTTAAAAACAATATTTTGATAAGGACTGTTGCAAAGAGTAAATATAAAGAATGGACTGAGAAGACAAACTATCCTACAAAATCTGAAAAGAAGAAAGGTAGGTCACTAATTTACATCTTATAGTAACTCCCAGCTCAACTGTTTTCAAAAATAATATCAATATAATGAAGAAGATGTATAGTTCAAAGCCACATCATTATGAATAAAACTCTGATCACCAATCTTTTCAATTTGTAAAAATGCTAAAGGGGTTTTGGGGTTTTGGGGTTTTGGGGTTTTGGGG